ATCTATACTTTCTTCTTTAATGCCTTGGCATTGTAGAAAGAAGCTGAAGGGAAAATAATGTGGTTCAGGGTCTGTGAGATACTGTCATTAGATAAACACTCCCTAACACGAAACAAAACCCATTCCCACGCGGACCCTTCTTACATTCATACTCTTTGAACATGTGCGAAGCTCGATCGTGACTATAATACTATTTTGTACGTGATAACTTTTAAACAAAATTAATGCTTAGAAGAGATTAATTGTACAAGGTGAATGCAAACAGGTGTTGGGGGTGAAACATGCATGATTTCATTGTTCTAATTAGGCAGAACGTTGTCTTCAGAACTGATGCATCTGGGATTTTTTGCTTTCAGAAAAAAAGGTTTCCAATTTAAAGCACTTTGAGCGTGACTAATCAGGAGCTAGACTTACATCTTGTATAAGAATGAAAAACAAAATTTGGAAGAAATTGTTTTTGGTTAGATTGTGTTGTTAAAATCACACACACACACACACACACACACACACACACACACACACACACACACACACACACACACACACACACACACACACACACACACACACACACACACACACACACACACATAAACAAAATAAAAATAGAACAAAAACAATACGTGCATTGGCATTCACTATGACAAATACTGAAATCCTGACAAGAAATATGTCTTCTACCTTAACTCTCACCAAGACATGCACCGACACAATTACGGTGATATGGATTATATCACACATAACATGCTTTCTAAAACACACACAATGATACACAAGACACACAGGGACATGACAGACACTGTGACAATGACTTGGACCAAGACACACAGGGACATGACAGACACTGTGACAATGACTTGGACCCAGACACACAGGGACTTGACAGACACTGTGACAATGTATTGGACCAAGACACACAGGGACATGACAGACACTGTGACAATGACTTGGACCCAGACACACAGGGACTTGACAGACACTGTGACAATGTATTGGACCAAGACACATAGGGACATGACAGACACTGTGACAATGACTTGGACCCAGACACACAGGGACTTGACAGACACTGTGACAATGACTTGGACCCAGACACACAGGGACATGACAGACACTGTGACAATGACTTGGACCCAGACACACAGGGACATGACAGACACTGTGACAATGACTTGGACCAAGACACACAGGGACATGACAGACACTGTGACAATGACTTGGACCCAGACACACGGGGACATGACAGACACTGTGACAATGTCTTGGACCAAGACACACAGGGACATGACAGACACTGTGACAATGTCTTGGACCAAGACACACAGGGACATGACAGACACTGTGACAATGACTTGGACCCAGACACACAGGGACATGACAGACACTGTGACAATGACTTGGACCCAGACACACAGGGACATGACAGACACTGTGACAATGTCTTGGACCCAGACACACAGGGACATGACAGACACTGTGACAATGACTTGGACCCAGACACACAGGGACATGACAGACACTGTGACAATGACTTGGACCCAGACACACAGGGACATGACAGACACTGTGACAATGACTTGGACCCAGACACACAGGGACATGACAGACACTGTGACAATGACTTGGACCCAGACACACAGGGACATGACAGACACTGTGACAATGACTTGGACCCAGACACACAGGGACATGACAGACACTGTGACAATGACTTGGACCAAGACACACAGGGACATGACAGACACTGTGACAATGACTTGGACCCAGACACACAGGGACATGACAGACACTGTGACAATGACATGAACAACACATGCAACCTGTGTTAAAAGTAGAAAAAATTAAAGTTAGCCCAGAAATAGATACTTAGAAGAATCCAATGCTAAACCAACAAACAAGAAAGTTCATTAACAGCAGTATTATAAAAGTAACCAGGTTTACAAATCGATCCAAACTACTGAAAAGTATGACCATGCTCTGACAGCGGTATTGAGGCGGTGGGGTAGCCTAGTGGCTAGAGAGTTCGCCCGAAGACCCGGGTTCGATTTCCAAATGGGTACAATGTGTGAAGCCCATTTCTGGTGTCCTCCGCCGTGATATTTCTGGAATATTGCTAAAAGCGGCGTAAAAAACTAAACTCACTCACTCACTGACAGCGGTATACTGATCTGTACCGAAATGTCGCATCGTAATAGAATATAGAAGTTGTCACCAAGAAGTATTTTGCCTATTGTCACTACCAAGTAAAGATCAAATGGCATAAGACCATAGAATGCAGTGTGAAATAAAACACCAGTAGTAACAGCGTTAACAGTGGACAATTTTCCAAAGATGCCTAGGCTGGATATTCTGGGTAAATGCATCGTAATGAAAATGATACAACCGCTGCTTTTGATAACATGTGATAGTATGGAAGCATGCATTTGCCCCTTACTTGCACTAGTCTAAAAATCTTCCAGTTGTTTCCATACTATGCTTGATGTATGTCATCCTCGATAATCTCCAGGGTATACGGTACGATCACTCTCCACTATACCCTGGATGCATCCACGGCTTGGCCCGATAATTATATTACCTGTCTTGCTACAAAACGTGTAAAAAAATAATGTGCACACCACTGCCCTCTACTCTGTTTTAGCATAAGCAATGTAATACAGTTAAACATAATACCGCCATATCACATACCACAAACTATGAATGCATTATATCACAAAATGGCATCCCCTGTGACACACAAAGATGTGCTTATGGAATAATGACATGCACTGTATGACACTTACCATGACATGCGTCATGATATGCACATGGCATAAAAGAAACGTGCCATACGTCTTGACACACACAATGCCATGAGCCATGGAAATCACGTTAATTGAGTGAATGGTGTATATTTCAGGTATCCCACGGAGTGGCTTTATCATGTGTGAGAAATTTAAATGAAACACGAGCACTGGCATAGGGGAACTGGGAGGTGTTACTTGCATCACGAGCACTGGCATTGAGAAACAGAGAGGTGTTAGTTGTAGGAAAAATAGTTGTTAGTTGATGGAGAAATATAAAGGTATTAGTTGAAGCAGGAATAGAAAGTGTTAGTTGAAGGAGAATTAGAGAGGTGTTAGTTGAAGAAGGAACAGAGAGGTGTTAATTGAAGGCGAATTAGAGAGGTGTTAGTTGAAGAAGAAACAGAGATGTGTTAGTTGAAGGAGAATTAGAAAGGTGTTAGTTGAAGAAGAACAGAGATGTGTTAGTTGAAGGAGGAATAGAAAGTGTTAGTTGAAGGAGAATTAGAGAGGTGTTAGTTGAAGAAGAAACAGAGAGGTGTTAGTTGAAGGAGAATTAGAGAGGTGTTAGTTGAAGAAGAAACAGAGATGTGTTAGTGGAAGGAGAATTAGAGAGGTGTTAGTTGAAGAAGAAACAGAGATGTGTTAGTGGAAGGAGAATTAGAGAGGTGTTAGTTGAAGAAGAAACAGAGATGTGTTAGTGGAAGGAGAATTAGAGAGGTGTTAGTTGAAGAAGAAACAGAGAGGTGTTAGTTGTAGGAGGAATTGAGAGGTGTTAGCTGTATGAGAAATAGAAAGGTGTTAGCTGTATGAGAAATAGAAAGGTATTAGCTGTATGAGAAATAGAAAGATGTCAGCTGTATGAGAAATAGAAAGGTATTAGCTGTAGGAGAAGTAGAAAGGTGTTGGTTGAAGGATGGATAGAGAGGTGTTAGCTGCAGGGTGGATAGAGAGCACGTAGAAGTGTTCTCACGTCACGTGCATACAGCGTGTGTCCTCGTTCCAGAACGAAGTCATAGTAACTCTTATAAGGTTTTACACTGCTTAGATACTGGACAGATGGCACACTTTAGGCTGAATATATCTAACTCGGTAAAGAACATGACTCATGACTCATCTTGTGACAGGGCAGAACTTCATTCAATGCATCATTACGCCTCTTCACCGGAGTCAATCCCTTAATACCAGGATCTGTCATCAACTGTGTAAAGAGTCTTTGATCCCAACAGACAGTTGTTATTCAAGCAGACAGTCCTCATCCCAGCAGACAGTGAAGAGGATACTTCTGTTTACTCCCTGATCTAAGTAAACGCATCCACGTCGTGGTTGTGTCTTCGCTTGATTCATATCACTGGCATATCAAGTTGCACAATTCAGTAGCCGTTTCTGATGGAGCCAACGTGATATCTTTGTGACAAAAATGAAACAAGTACCATGGTGTCATATTGTAGTATATTGAATAGTCACTTCCATGGACAACGTCATCGGAATATTTTGTTGCAATAATGATAAAAAGTGTCATGTTTTCAAAACGTATGTTATAGGATAGTATATAAATAAAGACAAATGTTTCAGGCACACTCTTTTGTTTGATGCAGAGATCTCTGGGAATACATTTGATGTGATCCCAGGGAAAGAAAATCTTGTGGTATCAAAGCGCAAATGCAGCAAAAGAAGCAGAAAGTGCATAACCATGTCAAACCGAAAGGCCAAAGAGTTAGTGAGTGAGAGGTGGGGTCATGGCCGCTGTGAGCACTTCAAGGCGTGTCAAGTGATGCAGGTCTGACACATTTACTACTTTGGTGACACAATTACCTCAACACTGCTGACATAAAAAGAATGACAAGTCAGTTAGATCAGCACCACTACCACCCAGATCAGTCAGCAAACTATATTTGATTAGCATTCCCTTAGTCGCTTACTGTCAGTGAACCTTAAACATGGCACAAGTGGTAAAATATTACCTCAGTACTTCAAATACCCAATTCTACCCCCAAGTGCCTCCATAACGTATTCGGTAATCTCTTGGTAAACTACATCAAGGAAAGAAGCTGTTGCACTTTTATATTCCGGTGATGATTCAGCTTTGTTCTAATCTGCCGTGTTTGAACACACGAAATGGAAGGAACATATATCTAGTGATTGCGACTCAACAAGTCACTTATCTCCGTCAACTGTGTCAACAGACCCTCCACATACAGGCTGATCATCAACACTACCTTTAGTACTCTCGACTCCAGCAGGGAATTGCCCGGAAACCCTCTCACCTGGCAAAATGTCATTAAAATGATCTCAGCTCGGAGAACTAGTGCATTTAGATACTAGGTTTCTTAATACTTGTGACAGCCAATGTGGTTCTCGGTCCCGACAATCGTGCTGAGGAGTGCCAAGCAAACACACACATACCAACATATTGCCGGCTTGAAATAATTGCGCACAAGGTTAGTTGTGAAATTTATCTATTTATTTATTTATTTACAGGAATATTATCATTAGGGACAGAATTTGAATATCATTTTACATTAATATGTAATTCCTATAAGAACACAAGACACCTGTATCTGTCTTATGTGTATTGTTACATTGCGAGAATGTGTAATAGGATAATATAACATATGTTATGGAGACCTGTATGTGAATTTGTATGCCAGAGTTATGTAATTAGACACGTACATACTGGAACAATATGATGGCAGTTGTGGATGAATCCATATGCTATGTATGTACACACGTTTCTCTGTATTGGACAGTGGCCTTCTTACGAACTTTGCTAACTGGAAGACACCTGATATTCACACTAACATGATTATGATTTCAGTGATACATCGAAACGTATTTCTAGAATATGTTTTATATATTTTGATATACATGTTATATAACATTTGTATTTCTATGATTTAACCCGTGACCTTGACACACGAAATACATTTTGACGGAATACATTCCATTTCAAGATAACTTCATTTCATAAGATACATTTATCTGTCATTACACATATTTGGTGCAGGTGTGGACACACACAAAACATGCTTTTATAAGATTTAGAAGTCTTCAGAACAGGTTGTATGTAGTGCGACTGTCATGACATTACTTAACAATGTGAGGATTTATCTAACATCTTCATTCAAACGTGTCATTGAATTACAGTTTTATGTAATTACAATCTTTAATTTATGGCCATTATTTGTTCAGACAGAAAGTAACTATATATTCGCATATAGTGCTATATTTCCGACCACCATTATCTTTCTGTGGAGAACAGTTAATGTTTATATGGGAAGAACAAAGAACAGTTTTGGAAATTCAGACAGACTAAATTTTATTTCTTTTTAAATGTGCCACCTAAGAATGATAATTTGAAACGGTCCTCACCTGTGATAACATTGCTGATGCAGCGTTAAGCAATATTCACTCACTCACTAACCTATGATAACTAACAGCGACAAATGTTATGGAAATTCAGGTAGAAATTCTTATTCATATACATAAAGAAACAGGTCAGAAAGGCACGGAGCGCACTTGATACACATTTACTACTCCTTGCTTTTCGTCCAATCCCAATATTTCACCTCAGATCATTGAAGGTCCAGCTTTCTCCATTTGTCTTAAACAGTTGATGACAAATGGTTCCAAATTAAAAAAATTGTCTTTAACTTTTGAAGATAGTCAGAGATGAAACAACAATATGTAGCTATCATTACATTTTGTGACAAATGCCATATTGATCCAGGAATGAAACTGGTTGTCTCAAAACAAGTCCTCTGAGTTCAGTGATTCGACGTATGGTCTAATTTATAAGATTAAGTGGTATGTTTGTTGACCCCAGTGGGATCTATCTCTTTGTGTAAGACTGGAGTGCAGCACAAGAAACGGAATGGAAATATCTTCAGATTAAGAGTCAGTTGTAAAGTTGGGTGGGTGACGAAAGTTGTCAATGTAAACAATACATAATACGACATGCTGGTAGAAATGTGAAGCTACAAGCAGTGCAATTTACACCAACAGCCAACGAGTCCAAGTTCTGTAATACTTCCTTAAGAATCGTGTTCCTAAAAGAAAATATAACAGCTGTTGAATCCGGAATTGTATAATAAGGTAGTAGAAAACAATTCTTGTGCAAATCATGGCCTCTCAAAACTAACGTTCATACTGGAAACATTTACGTTAGAGCACATAGGTCATATTCAAACTCGCACACAGTTCACAAGAAAACTCCAAAGAAGGAAATGAAGCCAAAGTTCCAACAAACCAACCCAGTATTGCAGCCAACACCTACAATTCCGTCTCGGGGTAACGATTACGGCATTTGTAAAAGGCAGGCACAGTTAATATACAGCTCTGTCCATGCCTGAACCAAGGACCTGTAATTTCTATACAGATACCTGTCTTCGTGTACGCTAACATGGAATATATATATACCATAACTCTTGCCATTCCCCATATAACATGTCCGTCCCATGAAGTAGAAGCATGATGTTTGCTACACAGAGCCATGACCTATATAGCCACCTGTCCTTATTCTACAACAGATGTGTTTCCTACATCATAGCAACATGTCATATAGTAACATGCTCTTCCCATATAGTAACATGCACCTCCCATATAGTAACATGCACTTATTATATAGTAAATAGAGATTATTAACCGAGTGTGTTTCCGTATCATTAATATCATATATTAGGAATAAAAATTGTATTGTGCGAGCCTTTGGCGAGCATAATACATAATTTTTATTCCTAATATATGATATTAATTATACGGAAACAGACGAGGTTAATAATCTCTTTATCATATAATGTCATTCTTAAAATTACTCTAAAAATAGAAGCAAATCGTACGTAAATTTATATGAATAGAATCGAGCAGTCGCGTAAGAATACTCAGCGGTACACCAAGGTGAAGGTCGTTCATGAGGGCGGCATATAGTTGTGACTAGTCGCTAATACAGTGCAAACATAACTCATGCTTAAAATAAGTTCTTTCTGTCTAAAAAGAACAACAAAATCGAGCAGGGTTTTCCTGGCAGTGTTTCTATTTTCACTGCGGGTAATCACCTCATCAATATCAGTTTCTGATACCTTCAGAACGGATTCGTCGTCAGTATTGTGATCGATAGATCGAAATCCTTGGTTGGTACCTTTCTTAGACGACTGCCTTTCAGTCGTATCTCATAATCCGTACCTTCAATTTGAACGAAGTACTCCGTTTCATGTTTTCCAAAGTCAATTACTGCAGTAACGACTCCAGAACCTCGGTAATCAATTCTTACAGAATCACCAATTTTGAGAATGGGGGCAGCCATGTTTGTTTACAAATAATGTAAACTCTCGACGACGTCATCAATGAAATATTAAACGTTTTAGGATTCGCATGGCGTGTTTTGAGTTTTGTGAAAGTAGTTCGTGGATTCACCTAATTTGCATAGTTATCAGATTTGGATACCAAATTTATCAGATTGCTTTATTGCACCGATAACGCCCTCCGTTAGATGATAAAATCAACGTCCCATATAGTATCATGCACTTCCCATATAGTAACATGCACTTCCCATATAGTAACAGTCACTTCTTATATATTAAAATCCACTTCCCATATAGTAACATGCTCTTACCATAGAGAAACATGCACTTCCCAAATAGTAACATGCACTTCCCATATAGTAACAGTCACTTCTTATATATTAAAATCCACTTCCCATATAGTAACATGCACTTCTTATATAGTACAATCCACTTACCATAGAGTAACATGCACTTCCCATATAGTAACAGTCACTTCTTATATATTAGAATCCACTTCCCACATAGTAACATGCACTTCTTATATAGTAACATGTACTTCTTATATAGTAACATGCACTTCCCATATAGTAACAGTCACTTCTTATATAGTAAAATCCACTTCCCATACAGTAACATGCACTTCTTATATAGTAACATGCACTTACCATGGAGTAACATGCACTTCCCAAATAGTAACATACACTTCCCAAATAGTAACATACACTTCTTATATAGTAGCATGCACTTCCCATATAGTAACATGTTCTTCCCATATAGTAACATGCACTTCTTATATAGTAGCATGCACTTCCCACATAGTTACATGTTCTTCCCATATAGTAACATGCACTTCTTATATAGCAGCATGCACTTCCCATACAGTAACATGTTCTTCCCATATTGTAGCATGAACTTCCCATATAGTAACATACACTTCTTATATAGTAGCATGCACTTCCTATATAGTAAAATGTTCTTCTTATATAATAACATGAACTTCCCACATAGTAACATGCACTTCTTATATAGTAGCATGCACTTCCCATATAGTAACATGTTCTTCCCATATAGTAGCATGCACTTCCAATATTGTAACATGCACTTCTTATATAGTAGCATGCACTTCCTATATAGTAAAATGTTCTTCTTATATAATAACATGAACTTCCCACATAGTAACATGCACTTCCCATATAGTAACAGCCGCCATATAGCTGGAATATTGCTGAGTGCGTAAAACTAAACCCACTCACTCACTCCATATAGTAACAGGCACTTCCTATATAGTAACAGTCACTACCTATATAGTAACATGCACTTCCTATAGTAACAGTCACTACCTATATAGTAACATGCACTTCCTATATAGTAACAGTCACTTCCCATATAGTAACATGCACTTCCTATATAGTAACATGCACTTCCTATACAGTAACGGTTACTTCCTATATAGTAACAGTCACTTCCCATATAGTAACATGCACTTCCTATATAGTAACAGTCACATCCTATATAGTAACATGCACTTCCTATATAGTAACATGCACTTCCTATATAGTAACATGCACTTCCGATATAGTAACATGCACTTCTTATATAGTAACGGTCACTTTCTATATTAAAGCATTTAAGAAAGACGAAAGTGTCTGGAAAAAATAAATATGCTTGAGACTTTTGAAAAAAGACTTTTAAGTTTCTAAAAACATATATATTTCGGGCCATATCTTTAATATATATGATTACGGTTGGTCGACGTCTCACTAGACATCACACAGCCAATACAGTAAGGGAACTGAAGGCTTCATCACTCTGGGTTCCAAGGCTTTTGACTCCTAATCAGAAGCGCACAGTCTGGGATTTTATATGGAAGCTTCATGGTTTTTTCAGCAACAGCTGCAACACCATATATATTCATATTTTTCTTGTTTAGTAATCAACCTTTCTAACAAACATTGGATTTACACATTATTTCATTTTCGTTTTTAAACAAGCAAACCTATCATGACATAGGTTTCTCTCAAATAATGTGTTATAAAAGCTCGTGTAATTGAAAACGTATCCAACTACAGGATATGTCATTCGTATGTGTGAACTTGCAGAAGCTGTACATAAATGAACAACAGAACTAGCAAACAAACACTGCAGTGCATCTAGGTACCAGCACAACACAGCTACACGACTACTTGAGAATCGTATTGATTCCAGTAACATGCTTACAGTGGTAGAGATCTGATGTTAGTATATACGACTACTTGAGAATCGTATAGATTCCAGTACATGCTTACAGTGGTTACAGTGGTAGAAGAATCTGATGTTAGTATATAGAATCGATGTACTTGAGAATCGTATAGATTCCAGTTCATGCTTACAGTGGTAGAATCTGATGTTAGTATATACGACTACTTGAGAATCGTATAGATTCCAGTTCATGCTTACAGTGGTAGAATCTGATGTTAGTATATACGACTACTTGAGAATCGTATAGATTCCAGCACATGCTTACAGTGGTAGAATCTGATGTTAGTATATACGACTACTTGAGAATCGTATTGATTCCAGTTCATGGTTACAGTGGTAGAATCTGATGTTAGTATATACGACTACTTGAGAATCGTATAGATTCCAGCACATGCTTACAGTGGTAGAATCTGATGTTAGTATATACGACTACTTGAGAATCGTATAGATTCCAGTACATGCTTACAGTGGTAGAATCTGATGTTAGTATATACGACTACTTGAGAATCGTATAGATTCCAGTACATGCTTACAGTGGTAGAATCTGATGTTAGTATATACGACTACTTGAGAATCGTATAGATTCCAGTACATGCTTACAGTGGTAGAATCTGATGTTAGTATATACGACTACTTGAGAATCGTATAGATTCCAGTTCATGCTTACAGTGGTAGAATCTGATGTTAGTATATACGACTACTTGAGAATCGTATAGATTCCAGTTCATGGTTACAGTGGTAGAATCTGATGTTAGTATATACGACTACTTGAGAATCGTATAGATTCCAGTACATGCTTACAGTGGTAGAATCTGATGTTAGTATATACGACTACTTGAGAATCGTATAGATTCCAGTTCATGGTTACAGTGGTAGAATCTGATGTTAGTATATACGACTACTTGAGAACCGTATAGATTCCAGTACACGCCAGCAGTGGTAGAATCTGGCTGTGGTATATACGACGTACCCACGATTGTTACACATGGCATCTAACCACAAGGCCATCAATGCGAATTCCTGTAAGTCACATAAGAGGCGGGACGTGGTATCTCACATTACAAGGACTTAATGCACTACGTTACGACTATCATAAATAAGTGTACCCCTGCCACCGTAACACTTTGTGGAGTAGCTCACAAACATAGCCCTGTATCCGGGCTTAGTGTAACATAGCTCCTAAGACATAAAGATCCACCAAATGTTCTTGGCTACAAGCAGACAATGTGTTTTCTGTCTCCTGGCGTGGTACTCTGGTTTACGGCATGTTTATGGAAGGTAGAGGCCAGACCTTACCTTGTCATAAATAATGAAACAAATTAGGTCTATATCAGCTGACTTAAGAGGCAAATAGAATTTAATTGCTCTGTTCTGAGATGTCTTAGGTGTGAAGCAGTTCTGAGTGATATAGATAGAGATCATTTAGTAAATAATTCTCTATATAACAAGTTTTATGGATAACAACTTCTTTATTTTCGTGAGTGCGACGTTTCGATACAGATTCTTGTACCGTTGTCAAGCAAGAGTGATACATGAAGTGTAGGAGCTGCATATATATACTGTATATAACAATGAAACAACATAATAGACAAAGGAAACAACATAATTGCCATGATTGGCTAAGCAGTAAGCTGATGAAGCCAGTAAGTACATAAAGGATAGTGAGTGGAAGCCAGAGATGTAGTTACAATGAGATGTTTATACAATGGATGCGATGTTTATACAATAGACTGGGCTTGGTGGAGGAGTGGATCATAAGCAGATGGAATGAAGTATCCTTGGTCACGGTTGATGGTGGGCTTGTGGCGTTTGATGTGAATGGCTTCTGTGAGCTTGCGTTTAGTGAAGTCCGTTTGGTTGTTGGCGAGAATGGTGATGTCGGACCACTCTATTTGATGATTGGGGTTGGCTTTGATGTGGTCAGAGATAGCTGATTTGGTGTCGGAATTAGCAACAGAGGTGCGATGTTCTTTGACTCGGGTGTTGATGGGTCGGGATGTTTCACCTATGTAGCATTGTCCACAATCACAGTCTATTTTGTAAATAACACATTTCGGGTTGTTGTTGTTGACGGTGGGTTGTTTTCTTCCGTTGGCATGGAGGAGGTTGTTGAGGCTGGAGGACGCTGAGAAGGTAGTGTCTATTCCTGCCTGTTGTTTCAGGAGTCGGCTGATTTGGTGTGATGGTTTACCAATGTAGGGAATGGATATCTTGATGGGGGCTGATTCTGGTTTAGACCTTTTGGCAGGAGGTGAAAGCGTTGCTTCGATGGTTCTGTTGACTATTTCAGGTGGGTAGTGGTTGCGTTCCACAAAGACTTTCCTCAGGTGTTCAATTTCTTCCTGTAGGTTTGTTGAGCAGATGTTTTTGGCTCTTCTGGCTCTTCTGGTCAATGTAGAGATGACGCCGGTCTTGACTTTAGGTGGGTGGTTGGAGTTGTAGTGGATGTATTGATCCGTATGAGTTGGTTTTCTGTACACGGAGGTCTGGAGTTGGTTGCAGGAGGTGCGGGACACAAGGACATCAAGGAAAGGTAGTTGGTTGTTCTGCTCTGTTTCAATGGTGAATTTGATGCGGGGATGTTGGCTGTTGAGATGGGCGAGGAGCTGCTTTGGATCTTATAAAGAAGTTGTTATCCATAAAACTTGTTATATATTGTACGTCTCAACTTCTAAAATGCCACTCAAACAAGTTAAATAATTCTCATTATGATACTAAAATGGTAAGAGAGGGAGGTGTGTTGGGTGTGTTAGTTTAATCCATAGTTCATAAGTTGAAGTATGGGTATGCTGTAGGCTCTTATGACATTCTTACCCGTGAAGATCCGGGTTAGAATTTATCTTCAGTAACCCATGCTTGTCGTAAGAGGCGACTAACGGGAATGGGTGGTCAGGCTCGCTGACTTTGTTGACGCATGTTATTGTTTCCAAATTACGTAGATCGATGCTCATGTTGTTGATCACTGGATTGTCTGGTCCAGACTCGATTACTTACAGGACCGCTGCCATGTAGCTGTAATATTGCCGAGTGCGGCGTAAAACTGAACTCACTCACTCATTCTCTATTTTCTGACTGTTGTCGCACATGTATGTTTGAGAACAAGGGCACCCGTGCAGTAGTATCTATGCTGCAACATCGAATCCGATTGATATTCAAAATGAAAACATTAATTTTGTAGATTTCAACAATTAGGTTTCTTTATGCTTCTTTTGTATTTGATCCATGTGTTTATTTCCCAGATCAGTTCCATACATACTGCGTTCAAGAAAGTCGAACACTGTAAGAGGTGAAATCCACTGAATCAAGCATGCGGTCGTGTGTGCCCATCCTGGCAACGTTGGCGCTGTCAGCGTGCTACGTGTACGCCTCCCCACTGGTATGCGTCATCTTCTGTTCTCGTGGGGATGAATTCCCCTACGTGAGGACGCCGGACCACTGCGACTGTTCCAGTGTCAAGAGTGGAGACCTCATCAGATTTGATCGTTAGTACGAAGATTTTATTCTGTTTCCCCTATGTGTTTGAATGCATACACTTATGATGATAAGTAAAACTCGCTCTAAAAGGTGACAAAGAATTAAATCGATATGCGTGTATAATTTTTGTTATTTGTTTATTAATCATCTCGATTTAACACATTACATTTGTGATTACTGGTGATGATTTGTTATATCAGAACAAATTTCGTAGCGGTGATGGATAAATGTTTTGTCACGAGTTCGAACTGGCGGATAGAACCAACTTTTGTTCGGTCACCTGTTGTATATTTTAGTCGAGAAACGTATAACAAAGTGCGGTTATATCGAACTAGAATCAGACATCCCTCTTGAGTTCGTTTCAACTGTGGCTTGCTGCATATCCTGTCTAACATCGGTTGATCTTTAGCTTCTTTTGTGTAATATATAATATTCCAGAAAGGTTTGTCATACACTGATTTAAAGTTCTTAAAAGCTCCAAGTTGAATAGTAATTCTTTGTTTGAGTCAAAGTAAATGCCAAAAATAATCAGTCTGTTTGCAGAAACAAATTCTATAGAGCGTTGAAGACAAAACATTGTCTTGAGATAGATAGCTAAACAAATCAAATATACCGAAAGGCAAAACAGTTGTTAAAATCATACAGCTGGATCTTTGAAACAGTGATGATATTGAGTAACGACTATATGTAAAGGGTGAATAGCCGCGAAACCATTGTACGTCTTCGATTATTTTAATCCTGCATATATCGATATTTTGTAACCGATGTCCATCTTCTTGTACTCTTAACGTCCATGTCGCTTTATTCCCAGATATCCAGGAACGGGCAGTTCAAAACAATCACACCCACCACTCCCAGACGACACCCGCGCCATCTACCACGACAGACATCTGCGACTATCTGTGTTCCATCCAGCTGGGCGGAGACGCCTGCCACTGCAGTATCCCCGGACTACCAGGGAGGAAGTGACGTCAATATCAGAAAACATGATGTCTTCATGACGCCAATGAACGTCAGCAGGAGGATCATTGTACAAGTTGATAATCTCGGACGGTACCGACTGATAATTATAAAGTTGATGTTGAATGTGAATTTGTGTCTTAAAAGTGTGAGATTACAAAGGATGTAAATATGCTGATTAATTATCTCATGAACTGTTTTGCATTGTCATCGTTTGCTGTGTTTTTCCCACGTCCTCGCGTCGAGTATCTGTTCTTTGATCTGAGAACTAAAATAACTGCCGGTGCAGAATATGTATTCAATGAACCCACCTATCACCCCTCATCATCATTATCAATCTGTTTTGGGGCCGATAATTTGTATTTGAGAGTAGATCCATGTATGCAAATTACAAGAACAGGATATAAGGCATGATTTTATCTTCATTCAAAGACATTTCAGTTACTGTGCACTCCTACCTGAACGAACTGAGAAAGGTTTTTTAACATCTGCGTTGGTAAAGTAATCTAATACTGACATTATGTGATTCTGAGAACTTGGTTTTCATCTGTACTAAGTCGCTTTATGCAAAAACGTTTTCTTTTTCGTTTCGCACTAAATCTTCCATTTAATGTCGAGAGCGCTGTTGTCAGTGGGTCCAGATAAGGTCGACGATCAAGAATTTTAAAGGCATTTTTTGAAAATAAACTCAAGAAACCATGTCAAAATAGTGTAATTTATTCGTAAAGAGATAATTCAGTTTGTCTGTCTGTTCGCGGGATGATTTCATCTAAGACAGCACACTAGAGACTGGGGCATATTACTTGCTGCTTGGTCCAAGGGAAGGTGTGTTATCTTCCCTGTATTTCGGGAACAGCACTACAACAGTTTCGGGCAAGTGTCTGTTTTGAAAATATTTCATCCTAGATGCAGGAAATCGAAGACATAAAAATCTCAGGATTTTTCCCCAAATTGATTTATAACATATTCCATGTTGAAGTTTACTGCCTCAGAAGAATGTCGTATACCATAAATGTCATTTTTGTATTTTGGTTGTTAAACGCCTCACTCAGCAATATTTCAGCTACTTGACGGCGGTCTGTAAATAAACGAGTCTGGACCAGACAATCCAATGATTGACAACACGAGCATCAATCTGCGCATTTGGGATATAACGACATAGTCACACACTATAAATTGGTAGGAACATTGCAATTTGTGTTCAGAACGTGTTATGATAAGGACCCTTTGTTTGCATTATATCTTATTTCACTTTTGTAGGGATGTGTTTTTGTGTTTTGTCTTTTCGCGATGAACAAAATGATTTTTATGATACAACAGGTTTAACTGAATAGAATAAAATATTTGATTATTCCTATCAAACATTGAGTAGTATATTAGAAATTGTTTAATTTGATATTTCAAGTGCGCAATTACTTCGTCCTCTTTAACAAAGCCTTATTCGCACAAATAAACGAGAATTTACATATTTGCCTTGTTAAGCATGAAGAACTTGACAGTACCAATACCAACGTTACACCTGTGCTGTATACTATGTACAATATCCTCGGTGTTATACCACTTTAATCTGAGGACTAGGGCGTCAACACATAGATGCAATCTGTGACTGTTCAAGCTGGTTAAACACCCGGTGTCCCGACACAGGCGTCAAAACTGAAGATCGATTGTTCCCATGCTTACTGGTAAATCATTCAATGAGTACTGAAATAGCTATATATACATAAAGGCATATCGTGAATAACGGTAGTGTTTGCATCATGCACCAATAGATCAATAATCTTCACGCACTTCAAGCCTGTATCTTTTTGCGCACAAGTGGAACGCAGCAATGTCAAATGCGCATGTCTTTGGGATCACTGATTTGCATGACGTCAACTTCCGTCAGGTTTGAATGTTGAGTGGTTGTATAACCCTTCAGCCATCAGTTTATTAGCAAGAGGTTTCACAGAGGCGGAGGACTTTTTTAACTTCGCCCTTTTATTCTGGAACCATATCTTGATCTGTGTTTCGTTAAGGCTGAGTTGTTTTGCCAGAACGCGGCGTCGATCTTCCGAGAGGTAGTGGGTCTCGTTGAACTCATCACGGAGTCTGTCCAGTTGCTCTGTTGTGAACGCTGTCCGGGGCCTCTTCTCCTCAGTGCTCTTCTCTCTCTTCCTCATTTTGCGAATACGGGGACCTGTTGATATAAAATATATGCTGAAAAGGTTGAGGATCAAAACTTATACACTCTGATTTTGTTTACAAGTGTTTTTGGTTAGCAAAATAATTGCTGAATGAAAATGATTAATCCGGTCGGTACGGATCCTAGTATTTAATTGTTCGTTGTTCATCGCCACACTCAACAATAATATATATGTGGCTGTATAAATAGAGTGTGGACCAAATAATCAAGTGATTAACATCACAAGCATCGATCAATATCCCTGGGCCACGTTCCAATAAACGATCACAGATGTACGAATATCAGAGCTTCTATGTGTCATCGTACATATAGAAAAAGACTTATAGACGTTGTAGATCTGGCCCAAGGAAGAGCCCTGTATTGGCAAATGAAAACAAAATTAAAAAACAAAACAGAAAAAAACCCAATGCCACTCCTTAAATAGTTATTAATGACGAGCAGCATGATTCTCTTCTGGTAGTCGCTGCCATAATTAATCGTATATATTTTACAGTCAACAAGTAAAATAATTGAAATTGTCATCAGGGCATTTTACAACACGACTGCATATTACAGTATATTTTCAAAGTGAACTGAAAATATCATATTCATTTTATTATGCTAAGAAATTCTAAACATTTCTATGACTACCATCATCCAGTGACTAAAACTTATAGCTTTAAAGAAATCAGAAAGTACATGTATGGTTTTACATTTATGGCGTATAATGAATCCAGCAAGATGAATCTATTGAGATATTTTAGCCGTACTGAACATCTTAACAATTTTAGTCTGACTATAAAGATGATGGTTAAATCAGTTTGAAAAATGACTTAACTATTTATTCATTTTTAAATGTCCAAATTGAATCGTATTTCATAACCTGACTGTACGATATGGACATTTATCACCCTACCATAATGAATGCCATTGTTCAGGGTGCTACAAGTTATGTAGGAACTGTAGTTATGCACCAATAGCTACACGCTACATGTTGGAGGACATATCTCTCAGTCTGGCACATATCCTATATTTCAACAGAAGCGGGGGGAATGTTGCTATTGACAGAACAGATAGTCCATATGACAGGCTGAGAATAAAGAGGCACATACTCTTAATTAACATGGTAAATAACATAGCTTGACTTTAACTCTCAATTAAAACACTGACATAGTCAACAGACGCTGCGTCAGTTTCTGGGCGTTAATTTCATTCCAGTGAATTCGCTTGTCGCTTTGTCGAAACGCTTGTCAACAACTCAATCTAAGCGACATATTTGTCCATGTCACAAGCGACAACATATGCTGTAAATCATTCTGATTGGCTCTCGGCGTGACCCCCTGCAATACATCATGCCCGTTAGTGAGAAACTGAATGTTTGCAAGTTATTGTTTGTTGTGACGCGATTATTCTTTATGAGAGTATTTTTTTACGGTTGATATTTTTTGAATTCTTGGTTTTGACAGTTGTTCACGAGAAAGGCACTGGTAGGTGAAATATACGCAGTTCCAGAGAGACGGTCTAGTGCACTCTAGTGCACTCACATCGACATTCAATCCAGTTTCAAACGAACACATCGCATCTTTATCGTAAGGATGCCTTAATTAGTCACAGGCAATAGACACTACGCACTGACAAAGGCAAAGTCTATTGACACGGAATATTGTATTATGTTTGATGTTCTTTCCATTGACCTTTGAGTCATTTGATGAAGAAAAAAATTGTACCACAAAGGCTGTTAATAGGAAATTATGCTCAAGACAATTTTGCAGTCTCAGAAAAGAAGTTTTGTATTACTCATTGTATGTATACATTAAATTGACATATAGTTCCCGAAATACAGTCGAAAATTGGGATACGTGAATTCATTCTGTAAAAGAACGCTCAATTATTATATAACCCTCAAGTCATATAATTTTCATATCTGAAAAGGAGATTAGTGCTAGCAATTAAATTTAACGTCACATCGGCAGTATTTCAGCCATGTTGTGCCAGGGATGAGAATAGATTCATGGTGAATGTTTATATAATGGTAGAACAGAACACCTAGTAACATCACGGATGTTCAGCGATCCATTCATATAATGTTCAACAAACCTAGACGAGGACAAGTCTCTAAGGTAATAATTAATAGCTTCAATTATAATTTCTAAAAAATAAATAATATATAAATAACAGGCTGGCGTCCTTATATATCTAGACTTGCTTCTTTTAAGGACAGAATTACTATACATTCATGGGCTTAGCATTCAGTACAGCCTTGGATCAAGGCTATAATAAACCCAACGGAATCTGTTTCAGTAGATGCTTAAGACTGGCTAATCATAGAATATATGCTCTGAGGTCCGTAAGAGAGAACAGATGTACATCAACATAGCAGAACAATGCTATTCTTATCACATCTAGGCAGTGACTCAGTCTCACAGAGTACCCGTCATGAAATATTTAGGATTTTTTATGTCGATATATTTGTATTTGTGGAGGTAATTATTCTCAAATCAAGAATCCCTGCCCCACCTAACAAAAGAATATCAAAGGATGAACCCCTAATAAGACAGCCTACCATCACTGGATATGGGCACAAGGTCATTGAACACTTTATCTAACTATACCGATTAAAGCTGTCGACAGCCGACAGCTTAACATAGAGCGGCCTTGATGACCAGTGCATCTTAAATTAACCCTGTATACATTTATAGACAATTCTTGCAATGTTTGGACCGAAAAGAATGTGAATGTATCCCAAAGGAAATATTCCACTACATCCTTCTACACAAAGCATCAACACGGGCATATGTCTGCAGGTGTGTTTGGCCACGTTTAATTGGACATATACAAACATGCTTTCTATTTTGATATGACAACTGCATGTGGCTTTAACAGACAACTAAATGACCATGTTAATAGCTTGTGACAGGGGATCCCCAGCCCGACGAGAGATCTCTATAGAAATTAATAGGACGAAAATAACCGCTGATAGTTGAGATAGACAAGCACCGATAGAGATACAAGCTATAATTCAGTCCTAACGTTCACTTTTCTGTATGTGAAAGCGAAGGTGACGGGTTTATGAAGGACTAGGTGTTAGAACATGACTACCGCTGAGGAGATGATTACTCAGTTAAACTCGCGGTGTGCGGGTTTCTAGAATTCACTCCACGCCTCTGTTCGTCTTTTCAGAAGAGGAAAAACTCCTCTCCAACTGTGATTCCTCAGCTTTTCGTCTAATTTCACCCCGAGACTAGCGAGCTCCGAAATTAAATGTCTTCTTACCAGGCGGGCATTTCAACACGCCTGACAGAGTACTTCCTGTCGAGGTATACGACTTGATAGATAGGCAAGGGAGGAACTGCTTGCTTGTTTTTCTTGTTTCTAAAACTGTTTTGTGATTGGAAGGAAATTTAGACAACGGTATGTTTACACAAATAAAGAAAGTCATTTGTTCTATGTTCATTTACCTAAGAAGGTTTCGCGTTGATGTAGATGTTACAGTAAAGTTGAGAGATAGAGTGAAAATAGTTTGTAGCACTTGATAATTTATAACATGGCGCTTTTTCTTAATCATTCTGCAGCTGATGATACCTTTGTCCTTTACCATTTCTGTTTGAGGTAGTCAAAGGCAATACGCAGATAACTGACAGCATTATAATTATCATAATAGCCACACTGTTAATTGTTATCACCACCACCACCACCACCACCACCATCATCATCATCATCATCATCATCATCATCACATCATCATCATACTATCATTTTTAAGGTTATTTATGAAGTGTCTATAGTGTCATATACCTTTAATATAAATCATGATTCATGTGAATCATAATATGAACGTGTATATATAAACATGCGGGATAAACACCAAAATAGAGATTCCTATAGTCAAAAATACAGAATGAAATTCACAACACATGGTTGTATATATTCAATTCAATGTATATATACCAGTCGAAGAAGTCAAGGACCACCCAATTGACTATACTGCAGCTATAACTATAGTTGAGAGAATCGGGTTGACCGCAGCTGTTGTTTAAGGAAGAATGACAATTATGTTGATGCCTTTGTGTGGTATAGATTCCAAGCTTTCATTCTTGAAACACAAGTCTTCACATTAGAGTATTAAACAACTTTTCAAGTATGTTATAAGAATTAGCCGTCTGTGAAGAAAATATGCCTAAATAAAACCATGTGTATTTGATCAAACTGCACAATCCATAAAACAAAATCCCATTAAACCCGATAAAACAGCGAATGTCGATTATCAATACGATCATTATGTCTCAAGTCAAAAGATCGTCTTATTCAAAATCATATTCAGGAATAACAATTCAAGTCGACTTCGCATTTATATATCACACTTATATCACTCGCAATCGGAATTAGTGTTAGGAGAATGGTTTGAAGCCAGTCGTGCCTTATCTGTGTGATCAGGGCAAGACACGCTGACATATGTGAGCGAGACAACGTGACAAATAGGCTGTTGTGCTCACACAGTTGTTCTCGCTTCTCAATCTACTGCTTCGGGATCACTTCATTGATCAATGTACAGGAGTAACATGTTTATTTTCTATGTAATTAGCCATGGATTTCCACCACAGATACCATCATCTGGGACTCGAAGATTACACCAAAATGCATTGAGTTTCAGTGGTACCCCAATGTTGGAACAACTGCGGCGTGAAATAATATATTCAAGATTATCCCAGTAATCAGTCCCACCCATTCAGCTTAGGACTTTGGGTTTTACCAAAACAATAAGTTGTTCGCTTCATATCCTGGGTGTGCTAAGGGGCAGAATTAAACTGATCGACACTTGTTAAGAGAAATGATTGTGTTTCGAAGCAGCAGTTGAAAATATATTTTATTGACACGATGCAAAAAAAAAAAGTCTTACCGTCGACTGGTTTCCTTACAACTTATGTTGGTGACTATACACTACCTAAACAACAAATAATGAGAGCGGGCAACAGCGAATGGACACATTACGTACACTTTATGTAATGAGAGCTGTT